GTGAAGCATTGTTAGGCCTAGCTAAGCAGTTTTCACAAGGTCTTGCTGATACATACTTCATCTTGAGCATGCAAAGGTTATACAAAAATCATACAGTGAAATTCTTAACACCCAAATCTAAATGTGAGGATTCACTAGAATTTTCCCATTACAGATGACATCGATTTTTCACGTTTCAAGTTGTAAATGGAGAGCTGGTTCAAACCTAAGGATTGTCCCCTGCTGTTGCTTTGTAGTCCTACAGTTGTGGTGAGTTTGGTTTTCATGCACTTTGCTGCCTCAGTTATTATATAGATTTTTTTTACATGTTTCTATGATACAGTGAAGACAGTAAATATGAAAATTCGTAGATACGTTATATATAGTTTTGATTAAAAGGCTTCATATAATGGTGGATTAACCATTACAGAAACAAAACATGATTTAGGTCATTAGCAGAACTGTTCATTTATAAACCTCATATATCATATTTATAGCAGGCCTTTAGTGACCTTTGTACTAAAGAAACTTAATACACACAAAAGCACAAACTTGTATCAGGTAAATTTATTATGGAGTCGGGGCAAGGTCTAAAGAAATTATTATAGCAAAGTTTTACTTATCCGTTTTTTAAAAGTGAGTCTGAAATACCACAACTTACAACAATAACAACAAATGATAAGCATAATGCATCATAATGCTCAGTGTTTTAATAGGTAAAAGAGGAAAATGGATGGGCCTCTTTGCTGGTCTGCTAATCAGAAGGATGTGGAAAAATGTTACACAGTGAAGTGGAAACTACTTTCTCCCTCAATCTCATTCAGTCTGTTAGATCTGCTAAAACTGTGGCAAAGAGTCAGACTCGAACCTGGACCGGCTGCTCTAAGCCGTCGCTCACTCGAAACACTGAGCTAAACCAACACCATGCTGAATTTGCATATCCATCCTAGTCTCGTCTCTGTGTTTTGATATTTCTTCAGCTTTCCCGGTCATGTCTCCATGTCTGTTTTTCCCCAGTCCTGGTGTCAATTCCACCTGTCTGAGTCTCTGTTTTAGTTCCTCTTTTACTGCAACTTGTACATGCTATGTTGTTATTATTAATAGTAGTTGTTGTAGTAGTATTAGTAATATTGGGGTTTCTTCTTCTTCTTCTTCTTCTTCTTCGGATCATGACAGCCGATAGTGTTCACTGTGGACTAACTAAACAGAAGAAAGAAGAAGAGAAATAACAATTTAACATAAACCAGTGACACAATCCAGGGCCTGATCAACCCTGGCAGGGCCTCCTTGGATGAGGGTGTCTAGTGATAATGGCCAAAACACCTGATGAATCCAAGGTCCACTACTGATGATATCTCCCAAATTGAAAATGATAATCTAGATCGATCTCTAATCCCTAAACCTAACCAAGGAAGGTAAATGGCAGATTAGCCTGGGTAAAAGACCGAAAGTTGAGGCACACAACGATGTGTGCTGCACATAGAGAGAGGTATCATTTCAGAAACACCAGAAAGACTGAAGCTCATTGCAGGGACAAAGCAGGACTCATGATCTTCACCAGCAGCTCTTTTTTTGAACATAAAGATATTATATTTAGTCCTGTAGAAAGTTAAATATTTAAATATATATTATGCTCTTGTTACTCTGTATGAATGATTCTGTATTACTTTATGATAAATAACACACTATTGGCAAAAAACGGTGAAAGAATTCCAGATCAGACGTTTTTAGTTCAACATACAAGTGACGATTTTTGACCTTCATCAGGTTTTATTCAATTGTGTCAGAGAAAACATCACATCCTCTTCATGCAGCTGACTACATTCAGTGTTTAAAACAGGAGTTGAGCAGGTCTGAGATTAGCACCTTTCTGAAACACCAAACTGAGGTCCTGTTAATGCTGGTATAGTGACACAGTTACATGGGTGATCAATCCTTTTGACTTTGTCTTTAACTTTATCTATAAGCAGCTGCAGCTTTTACTGAAAGCACATGTGGTACTTTAACCTTTGTACTGTTTTCATCAGTTAATTATGGAGTTACTACAAAGAGTGAAGATATACAGTAGGATGATCTGTCTGCTGTCACTGGCTGGTGCTGAGGTCTGAATCTGAGGGCAGCTCCTGTAATCACAAGGAGAACAGAATCATCACAAACTGAAATATAAAGTTTCTCTCTCAAATCTGAAATAAAAAAAATTCCAATATGTTTACCTTTGAGTTGTTGATGCTTTGTAAATGGAGGTATGCAAAGATGAGATGATGGAGCAGGTTTCAGTCCTGGTTCAGTCTGCTGCTGCATCCTGGTCACCAAGCTACCGAGGTATTATCAGCAGTGTGTGAGCTGCTGCTTGGGTATTGAACAAGAAATACTAAGGCTTCAAATTATTTCTCTTAAAGGATGTAAGCTGTACAGAGTACTGCACATGTGACTTTGTGAACATACCTCATTAGCAATAATTCAGACAGTTTTTTAACATGAATGTTTGCAACAAACTCAGTACAAAAATATATACAGAGTCAGTGCTAAAAAATTCATCAGTGGAAAAATTAAACATATATTTGAACTTAAGCTGCCAAGCGGAAGTAGTTGGTTTCAGTACATAAATATCGGGCTTTGCTATTTAATTCGTAGTTACTGATTAATGAGGGGTTACTGAAGTGCCAGGTTTGTTACTGTCCTTACAGATGTGGCAAGAGACAGACAACATACTGTTTGTTAATAATCAGCTCTGCACAGGAGCTGAAGCAGAGTCCAGCCTGTTGCTCTTACAGTAATATACTCATAATAAAAGTACAGTAACAGTAGTTAGTTAGTGACTGAGCAGCCCGGTGCTTTTCTCTTGATTTCTGTGTACATAACTGATTTGTATCACTGCCAGTACATAAACACAAATTCAAACTTTATCCTTGGAGCACAGATGTTTTAAACTGATCTACTTCTATATTTCCGATGCATGAATTCCATCTTAAAACCATATTTATTTTGTCTGTATTGGTTCATTTTGTACAGCAGCCATTTTCATTCTTCGTTAAGATTTGTTTGGGTTTTTTTTTAATTATTAAAAAAAGATCAGCGTTGTTTCATTATATAACGCGTCTGAGATATATATTTTACAGGGATAAAGGGGAGTAGGGGTGTGCTGCAGGATGAACATGAATAACAGTGCACAAAATAGATGTGATATACATGACAGTTCTTCCCTCGTTGCACTGCAAGAGTGATGAGAATCTATGAACAAATAAAAATTAAATGCAAACTAAATTTTTGTTGTTGTTTTTTAAACATTTTAAGTTTTTAGCTTTAACTTTTTTTTAAATTTTGATTTTCAGTACCAGTATTTACATCGGACCTTCCCAAAGTGATTGGGGCCCAGAGCCATGGCAGGGGGGCGCGGTATGAAAAGGAAAAAAACAAAAGGCTTGGGCACTGCTATCACGGGCGCCCACAGAAACGCAAAGCAGGAGATGAAGCATCGCTGAATATGTTTCCAAACCAACTTCATTCTAAGCCAAAGACTAGAAAATCTGGTGAAGCATATCTTCCCTTTGGTTTCACCTGCACAAGTGCCGAGGTAGGTCTCCCCTGCAGAATTAGTCTTCCCTTTGTCGGGAGCAACGCTGGGCTCTCCAAATCACGGACAAACAGTATCCCACATTCTTGATTTTTAGTTCACAAACACTTGTTGTAATGACTAACTACTCCTGACATTTTGGAGATGTTAGCTCTGTATACAGTAAAGTTACAGCGGGATACAAATAACATCAGGCTTATCCTACCACGATTTGTTCCCCCGGTTCAAATCACAGACAAACAGTATCCTACAGCTGTTTATGTTTTTGAACCCATTTTGCACAGAGAGGCATTTTTTGAAAAATGTATTGATGGCAATGTTGGATATTATTACACAGGGAAAAAAAACAACTACAGTAATAATAATTACACCCTGATGCCTCAGCCTTTCTAAATAGAGGGACAGTAACTGCTTGTGTATATATAAGCGTGTAAAACCTGAGGATAGTTAGATTTTTTTCATGTTGTCTGTGTTTGACAAAATGTGCTGATTTTTCACATGTGATAGCAGAACTGAATTGGGCATGCACAGGATGAGTCACATCATTTGAAACTTAGCCCTGATTGGAGAAATTGGAAGTGTTACAACTGACCCACGTTACAACTATCCCCGGTCTCCCCTAACAGTATTTTGTCTCTGTCTGCCATTCTGCAATGCAGCTCATGTAAACAATAACGTGGCGCACAGCCTGACATGAAAAAAAAGCAAAAAACCTTGAACTTGTGTCGAACTCTATTCCTCATCCACAACTAAACGCAAAAAAGGGTTTTAAAAAATATCCGTTTTCGGTGATTCGAAACGCCGTTTATGACGAAACAGCTGCGTTTTCAAAAATACCCGTGTAGGTGTGGACGCAGCGTAAAAGAGTTAGTAGTTTATTTTATTACTACCTGTAATTTATTGCAGATTACTTGTATTTGCTTAATTGTTTACAAAATGTTTGAGGTGTGAAATAAACCGCAATGGAGCAAAATATGGGTGTGTGTGGTTGGAGGATGTGTTAGTGCGTGTGCGTGCGTGCGCGCACGCGCGCGGGGGGGGGCGCGAACATTTTTCATGTAAAACAAAGGGGGGCCCAGCAAAAAAGAAAAAGTGAGTTACATCATGAGCTTCACATTAAACATTAGGCTACTCAGCAGCATTTACAGTCATTTAAAAAAAATTGCTTTATTCATTGGAAGCCAGAAACACCAGAATTATGACTCACAAATACACCAGCGGTTTATTAAGAAACTCAAACCACAGTTCCTTTTCTGGTCTTCTACTGTTATTTCCCCTACATGGACCCATGCTTTTTCATGTTGTGCCTGAGGAACAAGGCGGGGCTTTATCCATGGGAACTTTATTTGAAAATGCATTCCCAAAGGTTTTGTTTCACTTACAGTAAAAGCCACAGTGAACACTGGAAATTGAGGTGATCACTTGTGAACTGCGTTAAGCCACCGACATGGCGCTGACTAAATTAATGAGTGCGATCCTCACCAGAGCGCTGTTTATTTTAGTTGCTGTCATCGGAGTGTTGAGGGTGGCATCGGTTAAGAATGATAACAATTACTTGTTTCTGGCTTTTCTTTTGTTGCCGCTTGTTGTTGAAATGATAGTAACACTGAAGATGCGAAAAGGACAGGATTATAAATGGTAAGATAAAGGAGCATGCATGCAAGTGATGGTAAAAAAAAAGTGCTGTAATATTGTAATTATATTATCCTTAAGTATTCATTAGGCTACTTAATGCCTGAAGCTACTCATATTACTTTCAAACTCATCTCCGCTCTATCGTTTGCACTTTCCCCCTCTAATAGACAGTATAACAGTATAATGCATGATTAAATTATGCATTTTCATCTTTTCCTAGTCTTTATCTCGACCCCGGTGTACCTTACATGCATATTTAAGTAGTTTGTACCTTTGCTGCTACTATATTGATAAGCTGGGAAGCTAATAGTTAAACTGTCCCGAATGGTGCGATACCCCTTGACTTTTATTACTTCAAGTTAATCTCTTCAGTCTTCCTGCATGTTTGAAGTAAACATGCTTATCACTTTTCTTTTCTTTTTTTTTAAACATTTTTGAATGCCTTTGGTTGTCTTGTAGGTTTTCCCCTCCTATCTTTCTGTTCCTCATTACTATTATTCCCTCGATCTGGATTCTGGAGATACAACACCAGCAAGACAAAGCCAGCGATCTAGAGGTACCCCATGTACATTTATTGACCGATTCTATCAAATGTCACATCTGCTATTAATGTTAAGGTTTATAAGATTTAATTACAATAAAACAATCAATACCCCGTGAAATTCACTCACAAAAGCTTCTTTAAACTGTTTTCAGTGCAATAAACTAGATTCTATAGAAACTTTGCAAAGACTGCTGAATCGAAGCACCGAGCAGGGAAACACCACAAACCAGAATTTACTTAAGGTAAGAGTGACTGAATTGTTAAGTTATGGTTCTGTGACAGAAATAAAGAGAGAAAAAGGAAAGAAACTGTGAATGAATGAAATGAGAAAGATCACTGTGCCATGTGAAGTGCTGTAAATACAAGAATGAGCTCAAATGGGACAAGCAATGAGCAAATACAGACTTGCCAGGAATTTATTTCGTTATCCATGTGTAATCAGAGAGAACCAGTTTTTCCACTTTTTCTACCAATGTTTTGAGTGAAACTCTCTGTATTCAGCCAGGAAGGGACATATAATAATAATAATAACAATAATAATGGTAATGGATTGCATTTATATAGCGCTTTTCGGGCCCTCAAAGCGCTGTACAATTCCACTATTCATTCACTCTCATATTCACACACTGGTGGAGGCGAGCTACAGTTGTAGCCACAGCTGCCCTGGGGCAGACTGACATAACCTTCTACAGAAATAACATCCGGTGGCGTTGTTCCTCTTCTGGTCTTTCGCTAAGAAGGCTGAACTACCACTGTAAAGGTTGTTATTTCTTTATGCTAAGACACTTAAAAGCTTATTGACTGTTTCATAATGACTTCTCTTTAAGAAAGCCAGAAAGAGCAGCAGAAAAGGTTTAAGCAACTCAAGTAAAATAAAATGATTAATGATGATTTCATCATTTAGTTCTTGGAAACTGTTTAAGCAGCAGTGTGGACTGAACGCATAGTGAAACTATTTATGCTCTGATTTTTTCATTTTTCACTCATGCATTAAGATTGACTGGAAATTAATAAAATAATCCAACTGATCCACTCCACCTGTAGGAACAATGCATTTTTGTCACACTTAAAAAAAACAAAAACGAATTTATTTCAGCTACCTATCCAAAATGCGGCATCCGAATTCCAGTGCCTTTTCACTTAGTACTCTTAATAAGAAAAGTAGAAAACACTAAAGCATAAAGTGGACAGTCTCTCTTACTTGCATCATTTCAAATATCATCAGATTGATGACAAAGATGCAGCATTAAGAGCTAGATAATTCACAAAGTGCCCACTAATTGGAGAAATAGGAATCATTTTTAGAAAATAAGAGCCTGGGTCTCAATATTGACGAAGAGTTTTAAAAATGTTTAGCGCAGGTTCCAAGAAAATAGACTTTTTTACTTATTTAATAAGTTTCTCCACTATTCTGTTATTTATTTTGAAAATAATAATTTAAAAAATTGTACAAAGGAACTCAGGTTCTCTTATTTACAGCAGGGTCTTATGACATATTACCTGTACTGTGACTCAGGTTACTTATACTCAAATGCTTCTGTAGAACTGCTTTTAATTGTATGTGTGGGAAACTATCATAAACTATCATGTGGCTCACTGTTGTTTACTGAAAGGACAGAGATGAGATTAAATCCCAAATGGCTTTTTGAGTGAAGTGATTCAACCTTCTCAGAAAACCAAGTTTTCAGCATTAAACGTCTTGCCATCTTTTTTCCTTTTCTTAAATACTGAGCAGAGGTTGTCCACTGTCTGCGCGAATGACTGGATCCTGGCTCTTCACCAGATCGTGCTCATCCTCCTCATTGTGGGGAAGTGGCTTCTGCCTTTGGGAGGCGGGGTCACAAAAGATGAGTTGTCTCAGCTTCTTCTAACTTTTGTTGGCACTGCAGCGGACATCCTGGAATTTACTAGTGAGACGCTGTCAGATGTAAAGTAAGGGGCTAATCGTGTTGCTTGTACGTTAAGAATGTGCTTCTCCTATCGAGACATAAGTCTGCATTTAATGTATGCAAATGCATATATAGTTCCTGATATTGGTGTCACTTTTCTTACAGAGAAAAAAATCCTGCCATGGTTTACGTCATCTTAGCTGTGTGGACCTGGAGCATGTTGCAGTTTCCACTACATCTAGCAGGTCAGCTACCTTAAAATACTTGGTGTTTATTAAGGAGCTACAGCAGTGTAAGGAAGTTCCTTTCCTGTTTCCCGGTCATGAAAAAGACAAACAGTCTTAACAGTGTGTTTAGAAATTGGCTAAAAATCCAAGCCAGTCCAGTAAGTAAACAGTTAAGTACATAAGTGCAGCAAGTAAGTTGAAATTACAGCCCCCGGTGCTTTTAAATGACTAACTCAAACATTTTTACTTCCCGAGACTTAAATTAAAGGAATTAGGTAGCAGGTTGTAAGTTTTCAGCTGCTTTGGTGTGGTTCCTCCTAGTGCACAACACAGCTCATGCCCCATGTGGCGAGAGTATGTAGGCAGCTGCTGTAGGATCAAGGATTGATATCACTGACTTGTCCCCACTCTCACATAAACTAAATCCAATACAACATCTCTGGGACTTTATTCTTTTGCCCATCTGATGCTACCAAGTTGCACCTCCGACTGTCTAGGAGCGCAGTAACGCCGTGGTCTCTTTAGGAGCATGTCCCAATGTTGTCAGGCATCCACAGAAGCACGTGGGGGGCCATACAAACTACTCCCTCACATTTTTAGTTGCTGCAATATAATTTCAGCAAAATAGACAAGCCTCCTCACAACATTTTTTCACTTTGATTTCTGGGGTGTCTTTGAATTCAGCCCTCTGTAGGTTTCCATTTCCATCAAACAATGTGGCATCTTTTCATTCCCATCACATTACTCAGTATATATCAGTGTAGATATCAGCATGATTTTTTTCTCATTTTGATCTGATGTGTTTTCAAAGTGTTACAGGAAATTTTCAACCTTAGCTTTTGTGATCTCGAGTCTTTATTTACTATTTGTTAATAGGTAAATGGTTATTCTAATGATAAGTATCTAACTTTAAGGATATCTTATGCTCTGGTTTGTTATTAATAATTATTATTAGCTCCCCAGGTTTCTGCTCACTGGGAACCTTCTTCCTGGTCATAGCTAAAATACTTTTGACCTGGGTGGCTAAAAAACTTGTTAAGACTATTTCTGAATTAATGTCACCTTTATCTAAGGTTTCCTCCTGTATCATCCTCACTAAAACTTCTAACCTTTGGTTAATCCATCCACTTGTGTCCTGCATTCAGGTTCTAAATTAAAAGGAGACCTGTTATATTCAGACCATATTTGTATTCTTGGACTCTACTAGAATAGCTTGGTAAATTTCACACTTAAACAAAAAGCGAGATAAGCTGTTTTAAAAACAAACAAATAAATGTGACATCTGTCAAACTACATGCAGCTACCTGAAGGAAAGCTTCATTTTTGCTGTCAATCATTTGTTTTTCCTCTTCTTATTCAACATAGTGGTGAACACCAAATCTGATGAAGAGAATGGCGGAGAAGATCGAGTTGTCCGGGAAACCTTCTTTATTAAACACAGCACTGATATTTGGAGTATCATAGAGACCCTCTTTATCCAGGATGGGCCTTTTCTGTTGGTCAGGCTGACTGTCATTATCCACTTCAGAGTCCTCCACCAGATGCTTGGTTTCTTTGCCATCAAGAACGGCCTAGTGATCACACTGAGCTTGTACAGGTTGGCCATTATATTGCTGGACTACAGACATTCCATGGGCAACAATGCAGAGGCAGTGCCGATGCATGAGTCAGATGACAGACGTTGCAGCCACAGCAGCACTGAGGCAATAGCGATCCATGAGTTAGATGAGCTATGCGACAGACCTTCCAGCCACAACAGTGCAGAAGCAGTGTCGACCCATGAGTTGGATGACAGACGTTCCAGCCACAACAGTGAAGAGGCAGTGCTGACCGATGAGTTAGCTCTGGTAGATAAAGAGGAATCTTAGAGTGAGATGTATTACGCTAAACATTTAAAACCTTTTAAATTCAAATGGCAAAAACTATCACTGAAGCAGGAAAAGAAGGAAACACAACACAATGCTTTGACGCAGCTACAAAGTCAGAGTGACTAAAGTCAGACTGTCAGATAAGAAGTTAGTCGACTTCTAACAGTGTGATAACTGATGTCTGGCTGACAGGAATTGAGGGCAACAAACGAGGGTGAAAGCGAGATGATGAGATATTTTTGCATTTTCTGTGAGATTGAGAGGAAGATAATAACAGACAGAAATTTTCCTGTTTTAACCCAAACAGGAAATTGAAAGTCATGCAAAATCCCCTCTAGTGGTAGTCGGTAGGTGCTTTGTTCATTTAAGATGATTGCTCTTTACAAAATAAGGAATATGCTGTTTACAAATCAAAAAGTATTGTTACCTCAGTAGTTACATTAAATCAATGTGATATCTGTGGCTAAAACAGGTGGATCATTGTCCATTTGTACATTTTTTTTAAAACTAAAGATAAAATTGCACTCAGGTGATGAGCTGTGTATGAGTTGCTTTTAAAGCCTTTAAAACCGTTTTTATGGCTTTAAAATCACACAAAGTTTTTATACCTGATTTATGTGAGGATCTTCATTTAGCTGGTAAAGGAACAAAAATATATGTCATGTTTGTTGTAAATGACTATAACTCATGATATCCTGTCAAAGCTGCTCTGACCTGAATACATTTCAGTAAATGTGGCTCATTTTACTTTTTTGCTATTTCATTTATCACAAAACCAGAAACAGTGGGTTCAAAATGATTATTTTTTAGTTTTTCTGGGTGATTTGTCTCATTGCCAATATATACAAACACAAATTCAAACTTTATGAGCACAAATGCGCTACATCTACTTCTGTTGAAAATATTCATCTGAAAACTGTGTTTATTTTGTCTACATTTCTTCATTTTGTACAGTAAATCTAACCTGCAAACTGTCTACCGTCTCCCCTCTGTGGACATCAGTGTATTACCACTTTGATGATGCCATCTGTGACAGTTTTTTGTTTGAGATGTTGCATCAGAATCAGTCTTATCTGAGTTTAGAACATTTCAGCTCCCTATGAAATCACTGTGGCTGCTGTCAAACTGTCACAAGAGTTGATTTTTGTATTCACCATCTATATGCCAGCCAGTTTTCAGAGATGTCAGGAAATTTAAAGTTGACATTCGCACCTGCGTCATGGCCCCACAGTGTGGTTTCCTGTTTTATTGTGAAGGTCTGTGTCTTATGTTATGTGTCCAGCTTCTGACAAAACAAGAGTAAAACAGTTTCTCGACTAACTCCAGCTCCAGCAAATAGTCTTTTCCTTTTCCTCTCTATGATGATTAAACTGGATAAAACTGAACAATGTTTGGAACCATAAATCTGTCATGACAATAAATACTCAGGTGTTCAAAAGGCTCAAGGAATGTGTGAAATCCTTCAAAACAGTTTATCACACCAGATTGAGTCATTTTCACCCTTCCTTAATATTTGGAAATGCTCTAAGGCAAATGAGGAAGAATGGCTGTCCAAAATCCGGTCAAATTGTAAACAAGCATTGTTTCATTATATAAATCATCTCAGATATTTATTTTACAGGGACTTTTTTTACAGGAGGAAGGGGAGAAGAGGTGTGCTGCAATATGAAGATGCATAAAAGTGCAGCAACATATATGCCAGTTCTTCTTTAGTTACACTGCAAGGAAGAACATTTAATTGTTAGTGTGATGAAAATCTGTGACCAAATGAAATCACATATAGTGTATTACCAAAAGAATAAAAATGTAGGACAACAATGATACACACTTCTAGTGTTCACCGTCATTCTTTTAAACAGTGTTATATTAACCTTTATTTTGGTGGCAATTATTCAGACCTGTTCATTGACAAAGACTTCATATTGGCACATGCTGCATGTATGATCTGTTGCGGAAAACATATGTTAGAGCTGAGAACTTCAAACAAGGTTATGAGAAATATGCCAAAGCCAATGAGACTAAAACAACTTTGTGAACACTCCCCAGTTCTCTGAAACTCTGATGGAGAGATGGAGCCGAGCAGTCCCAGTCAAATATTGACATGATTGATTGACAGAATTTTCACAGAAATCTAACCATTGAGTGTTTCCTGACTCACTACTGTAAGAAGAAATGAATTATTTGTATATAGAAACAAACTCCAAAAAGTTGATGTTGTTTATCTGGAAGTCTGTGTTTTCAGTGGGAGTGACGAAATGTTTATTTAAATTATTATTTAATAATAACGAAATATAATATAATCATTAAATAATAATTCTGAATAATTCCACTTGAAGTTAAAACACAAACAAAGTGGAAAAACCATCAAGTTTTCTTGGCAGTTAAGGTGAGCTTGGCTTCCCTCTTGTGGCATTTTAGATGTATTACACCATCTTGCTCATCTTCTGCTTTACAGCATTTTTCTCTTTACTGCCTCTTTAATTGTAACAGAAAAAGTTAACTAAACGAAATCATTTCTGGAGATCAGGACTCCCGTTAAACTGAACTAGTAAAGATTTGCAAGCTTCTTATTTTGTAAAATTAAATTAAACCTGGTTGGCTGCTGCATTTTACGCCCACTTTCACTCCACTAATCCATTTCATTCACTGCCACTCTCTTTGTTGAAAGGTGAAAAAGACATTTACCAGGCAAATGTCATTCTCTTTGGCTGCTTGTCTCTGCCTACACTGCTTAACACTCGCTGATTGTCGGGCATGTTTCATTACCCTTGATCCAATCCAAAATCTCAATTATTATTATTTTCAAAAAGGCTAGCATATATATATATGTATATAT